CACTAGTAAGCAGGAGGTCATGGGTTCGAGTCCCATCCGAATAAGCTTGTGAGGTTTTTTTCGCAAGCTCTCGGACAAGCACTGAGCATACAGTGCTTATTAATATACGTTGGGTAAGGGCAAACCCGTTATATATAATTGCGATGAAAACAACGCACCACTAACGCTTGATACATGCACAACGCACCCATTGCTATCGTAGTAATCGCTTAGTTATTTATTTCACTGCTCCATGGACAGTTTGCATGAAAAAGAGGAGATCAAAATTTGTTTTCTGTGGCATGGAATGCTAAATTCCCTTCTAAAAGCGCAATAGTTCGTATAACGTCTGCATAGTTGCCGACCGAGAAACTTTTTTGTCTCATAAAATTGTAGGGCGCCCTCATTCTATTTTTTGGGTTTAGGTCAAAGTTCACACATGACATGTAATTTCCGAACGCAAGTAACGTAAAACCCCAGAAACTTACGCTAATAATTACCCCAGACTTTACACAATCGGTATGTATTTGGTCTAAATTGTTATTAGATGTAAATCTTAAAGTTCAGCGTCTCTTGCCATTGCACCTTCAAGCAGACTGGGCAAAGAAGGCACAGGCTACCATAGAGTCCAGACAAGAACCAAGCTTTGTTCAGAGTACAGAGTTTGTGGAACAAAAGGCAAAGACTGCCAGCAATATGTATGGACAAAACATCAGCAAGGCTGTTAGTCCAAAGGGATCCAGCCCGTCTCCACGCTCAACTCCGAAGGCCAAGATGACCACGCTGTCAACCAATTCTGTTGCCGACAGCCGTCCAGACACAAGAAGGAAGGACAAACAGGTCAAGTGCCCATGCTGTTCTCTGTCTCACAAACTGGCAGTTTGCAAGAATTTCACACTGAAGTCTTACGATGAGCGCCGTAAGTTTCTCAGGGATAATAAGCTTTGTGACAACTGCTTCATTCAGTGGCACGTTGCAAGACAATGCAAATTTAGCAGTCGGTGTGAAGTTGCTGGCTGCACATGGAAGCATCACACACTCTTGCATCCCCCAAGGGCACCGGTTGCTAATTCTGAGGAGAAGAAAGACAGCAACACCCAAGCGGAGCCGAAATCTGCTGGAATGTGTACCTCGACCGGGGCTGGGGAGCAGGTGATAGAAGGTGAAAGGGAAGAGCCTGGAGCATGTCATTCAGTGACATCTAGACA